CACACACACACACACACACACACACACACACACACACACACACACAAACACAGACAGACACAGACACACATGTATTATATATTACACACATATACATACACAGTGCCCTCCAACACTCTAAAAGTGCTGTCCTTTTTATTTGGTAATAAATCCATGTTTGTAGAAACACCCAATAATAAAATGTAACATTCTGTAGTTTTGTCTCATATTCATCTTTTAATCATATTTACAGATTTCTGGACTCCACAGCAAACATAACAATTTAGTCTTTACTGTCCCAATACTTATGGAGGGCACTGTATATAAACCAAAATGCCTTCATATTTTACCAATGACTCTGGTAACTGAAAATGCATCTAACACCACTTACTCTTTGATCTCACATTAATTTAATAACAAAAAAAATTATATATATATATTTTAAATATTTTACAAATATTTTTAACATTTGAAAAAATGCAATAAGATTCAAGAGCTTTATTGTCATATGTACTATTACAATGAAATTCTTACTTTGTTTACTCCTCACGAGAATGACAGGGTAGAAGGGGAACAAACATAACTTACTAGGATGATACAAATTACATAAAAATATAAAATATACAGTAAAGTATAAACCAGAAAGAATAAATAATAATAGCATAAAAAAGAAAGTAATGAAAAAAAGAAAAATAGAAAGGAAAATACAATAAATATACAATAAAGAACAATACAATATTAAAAAAGCAACAATTAAGTTACCTTCAACCAACGATAAAATTCATTAAAATACCTGTATATAATTGTCCCACCCAAATTCTAACGCATTTAGTACAATTCAAATGCTTCATAACCCTGCACATCAATACTGATTATTTTAATTAATTTGCCACATTAGCATAATAAAAATATGTCAATTAAAAATATATTATTTGCATGTAATTATAAGGTCTCTACTCAACAAGTGCTCTTTGGTTGAAAAACCCTGATTTGGGGCATTTCCTCAAACATTTAAAAGTGTGTTTCACTCTTAAAACCCTGCAATGTGAACATGACTATAATCTCAAAGATAACAGGCAAAGCATGCAAAAAAATTATGTACTGCATGATGCTGAAATATGAGCCTTGATGTTGAGTTTGTCCTCCAGTAGGTGGCAGTATGACCACAAAAATACATTCAGCATTTAAAAGTCACAATCTGTGGTTTGAAACAAAGCATTGCTGTGTTCGCACAGCCTTGACATTTCCTGTTTTTTCCATAGCATCTGTTTTTCACAGGAGTGAGTCATACATCATGCACATTGACCTTTATACTTTAATCCTTTTTTTTATGAAGCATATTTAGCTCGCAATCATTTCTCTTCCCAACTGTTTAGCACATTCACTGGAATTGTTAACATTAGGCGAATGTTGTCCAGCAATTGAGAAAGTTGTTTACATGATAACTTGAAGTGCTTCTGTGCCCTAAATCAAACTATTTACATCAGAGAAAGGCTGGGGAAAACTTCAGTGTAAAATAAGGCCAAGTTTTCTTTCATTGCACAAACAGTGCAATAAATAACAACACTGCAAACCTATGTAGGAGCATCATGCACAAATGGGCCCCAGGACCACAAAAACGGTCATTAGGGTCAATTTTTGAGTACAAATTTTGAGTACGAATACACACACATGTATTATGTAAACAAAAACTTTTATTTTGGATGCGATTAATCGTTTGACAGCACTACTACAAATATACCCGTGCTACTTATAACTGGTTTTGTGCTCCAGGGTCACAAATGTTGTCTCCTTTACAAACCACACACTCGACAGTAACGCTCAACAGCTTCCAGATGTTCACAAACCTGTCGCTCCACGCTCCGTTCCACTCTCTCTGACCCCAAGGGTTCCTCATGCGGATCATGGAGAGCTTCTCTGATTTGAAGAACGCCAGCAGGCCGGTGCCCAGACGCACTTTACGCACATCAGTCACCGCATACGCGTGACCTTTGACCAGGCCGCAGTCTAAACGGGCTTCCATGTCCGCCTGACTCGTGGCCTAGGGAAAATAATCCAAATATGAAAACGTGAGGCTGGGACGTGACCAGAGCTGGGTAGACTACTTACAAATTAAAAATCATTCACTGATTCCAAATTACACGACAAAAATTGTAGTTAGTAACGTAATCCCTTACATTGCACATTTTAGGTAACGTAATCAGATTACTTTTAGATTACTTTTGACCCATCTCGTTTATTGCACTGATTTAAATAGGATAATCATGTACCATATTGATATTAAAAAAAAAACAGACTAATAAAGCAACAAGCCCCGTGAAGCCATGGTTTACAGTGAATTTATAACATCAAAGGGGCGTTGTTAGGCACGACGCGAAGCTGTTATAAATTCACTGTAAACCACGGCTTCACGGGGATTATTGCTTTTATAAAACGGTTATTCCATATACGTAGTAAGGTTTCACAAAATAAAACAGAGCAAATAAAGTGTAACGATATTAATAAAAACAGTATTCTTCCACCAAACAATGTAGTTCCTCAGAAACAGTTGTGGTTGCTACAAAGTGGTTGCCGAGCAACACACAAACGTAAACAAAGATTTATGTTACTTTGTAGAGTAATTTACAACAGCTTCGAATGTGGCTCAGCCAATCAGAATCAAGGACCGGAACTCTCCGTTTTATAAGAAAATATATTCCATTTATTGTTATTAACAACATAAAGTGCATTAAACACTATATTAATGTCAAGGTTTCCCAAACTGGGATTTGTAAAGAAACTGCAGGGGGTTCATGAGTTTAAGCTATAATTAATTAAATCATAAAAATGTTAAATTAGGTCACGCAAGGGCGTTCCCAAAGCGACTTCGACGCAGCTCGAGTTCCTGAAGGGGAACTTGAATTTTGATTTCATGTGGACTTTAAGACTGGTTTTGTGTTCCAGGCTCACAGATGCATGAGGCTCACTCTGATGGAGCAGCTGATCAGGCCTCCTCTGCTGTGGACCTTCAGCACGCGCTCGAACAGCTGATTTCTGGCCTCCTCCTCCTGGATGATCTTCCCCTCCAGCAGATCCATGGGCTCAGACACTCCACCAGTGAAATCCACAAGAGCGTCCGCCGTGTTCCCGCCATCCAAAGCCTCATAACATCCACATAACCTGATAAATGACGTACACAGAGGAATGAAGCAGTTCATTCATGCATGTTCATATTATACATATTAAAATAAATATATGAATTAGTGCTGTCAAACGATTAATCGCATCCAAAATAAAAGTTATTGTTTACATAATATATGTGTGTGTACTGTGTATATTTATTATGCATATATAAATACACACACATGCATGGATATATTTCAGAAAAATAGGTTATGTTTATATATTAAATATACACAATACATGTAAATATTTTCAAAATATATACATGCATGTGTGTGTATTTATATATGCATAATACATATAACACAGAACACACACATATACTATGCAAACAAAAACTTTTATTAATCGTTTGACAGCACTAATATGAAAACACAGATGGAGCACATCTGATTTCTTTCATGAATTTGTAAATATATTTTATAGTGCTGTCAAACGATTAATCGTGATTAATCGCATAATAAATATACACAGTACATACACATATTTTGTAAATAAAAACTTTTATTTTGGATGCGATTAATCGTTTGACAGCACTAATATCTTATATATTTACATACATATTTTTAACTGATAGTAACCTTTTCTTTGGCATTAAAGTGAAATTAGTGAACCTAAACATTATATTAAAAAATAATATTTAATATATATATATATGAATTGTCTCATGACTTTGTATTTAAAATACAGATTTAGATTTTTTTTTTTAAGTTGGCGTATTCTTATTATCACTGAATTTGGTGCTGTAATAAATGTTTACATTTTAAATGTAAATGAAAGAAATGCTTCTCATTAATTTGTATTTAAAAATAGATTTGTAATTTTTTTTTTTAAGTAGTCTTATTCTTATTATTATGGATGTTGGAAAAAATACATATAACGTAACATATTACGCCGATTTGGTTTCTTGGTGTCAAGAAACTTTTATTATTATTACTACTACTATTATTATTATCAATGATGAAAACAATTTCTGCAGCTTAATATTTTTGTGTAAACTATGATATTGTTTTTTTCCTCAAGATTCTTTGATAAATAGAACATTTATTTGAAATAGCAATCTTTTTTACAGAAATCATTTTACATATAATATACAAATGTCTTTACTGTCAATTTTGATTCTTTAAAATAAATAAATATACTACATAATAATATACTATATTATATTAAAGGGGTCATAGGTTGCCCATTTTCCACAAGTTGATATGTTTGCAAAGATTCGTTTTCATTACAAAACCTTACACACTTCTGTAGGTGAAGCTGGATCACGAATGATTCGTGCGAACATAGACGTATTTATGTAGATCAGGGGCGCATTCCCTTCAGAAACAAACATAATCCACTGCGAGTTCAGCGGCTCAGATGTTGGGAGTAAACGACGACTGCTATGTTCATTATTACATCCAACAACAGAACACCTCAATCGCTTAGGAGTCATTCTTGTCTACATCTGCTCTGGCGGTGAAACAATGGCGGACTGATGACAGCTCACTCAGGGGCAGAGCTAATACGCCAGTCCAGTCTGTGCTGAAACGCTACTGTCAATCAAACTATCGTGGGAGGGGCCTGTCTGTGTGACGTCACACAGACAGGCATCTGAGATCGGCTCGATTTGAGAAAGGGGAAAGATTTTAGTAGATTAATAAAAAACCACTGGTTGGATTTTTATCATTGTAGGGTGGTTGTGTACACACACTGCCAACACACATTTCAGTTCAAACAACTTGTAAAAGTGCATGTAGCATCCTATGACCCCTTTAAATATGTGCACACCTGTATTTATTCTGTTTCTATTGGTTGTGGTAATTACTTGGCATAGGCTTTCTCCACCAGTGCACTCCAGAACTCGTTACTGTCGTTAGAGTGGCAGTAGATGAGCGTCCCGTTTGCGGTTGGCAGTCGGTCATCAATAACAACATCCACCCATTCTCCAAAACGCCAGAACCGAAAGTGAAAAATCCCAGCATAGCTCTCCGGCTTCTGCTTGTCCCATTCCTGGTCCTTCCAATCTGGGATAACCTGTGAACAGACGAAATACTGCTTTTTATATCTGGAGGCAACTAAACGCACACTGACAGACCTATGGAAAAAACGGTGAATAAAAACCTTAAAAACATGGAATTATAAGAGCTTCATACAGTGAAAGCTCAAGAACATGCATAGAAAAACATAAAAAGAAAAAAGAAAATCGGAAACTAATTTCTGATGAAATAATTGTTTTGCATAAATTAACCTTATTTAAAGCAATGCTATTTTACTATTAAATATAATTATCTTAGTATTTTATTTTAATTTTTGTTTTAGTCATTTTAGTACTTGACTTGTACTAGTTACTTGCCAATGCAGTATTTCTAATTTTCCTTTAAGTTTTCCCATCTAATATTTATATTTTGTTTCAACTTTATTTCAATAACATTAGTTTTACTTTTACTTAACAATAACAACACCGATTTTAAGGACATTTTCATGAGTTAAGCACATTTTAACATTCAATTCAGAATACTTTAATGCTATAAACTCTAAATAATAATACTAATACACTAAGTAAAGAATATATAAATCATAGAGGCATTTGTTGCACTGTATTTACACTGAAAAATTAAATTGCGATATTTATTTATTTTATACTATATTTGGATGTTTACTGCATGACAATGTAATAAAAATAATCAGACAAAAACTATATATAATAATAATAATAGGATAATAATAATAATAAACTAAGTAAAGAATATATAAATCATAAGAGGCATTTGTTGCACTGCATTTACACTGAAAAATTTAATTGCAATATTTATTTATTTTTTATTTTATACTATAGTTGGATGTTTACTGCATGAAAATGTAATAAAAAAATAATCAGACAAAAACTATATATAATAATAATAGGACAACAGCAATAATAATAATAAATAAACTAAGTAATAATAAAGTAATAATAAATAAATTATGTAAAATGTCCATAGGCATTTGGTAAAGGGAATGTGAGCATAAAATTAAATAAAATAAAATAAGATTACATTAGATTAGATTAGATTAGATTAGATAAAATAAAATAAAATGAAATTAAATGAAATTAAATTAAATACAATTAAATAAAATTAAATACAATTAAATTAAATAAAATTAAATAAATTAAATAAAAGCAGTATTGTCAATCAGATGCATATTTACATAAAAAAAATAAAACAAATCCCTACCAAAAATTCAAAGTTTTTTTTTTGTTTGCTTGTTTTGCAGCAGTAAGCATCTGTTGCCTAGTGCTGCAACACGTCAAACACTAGCAGTGAATCTCCGGTTGGTTCGCTCCTCCTCCTGCTCCCAAAACTCATCCAGAGGCTCAGAGCCTGTGTGGCAGAAACAATAAAGTCCCCAACTAACCAGGCTTTTTGCCCCGTGGGGCCACAGAGGCGGGTGGAGCGGCGGCATGGAAAATGAAGTCTGAGAGAGGAGAGAGTTTATTCAGTCGCACACAGAGCACAAGCGCACCGAGACGATCCGCTCATGGGTTCAGAAACAGAGCTGAGCTTCGCTGAGGACCTGCAGCTGGCGGAGGTGATGCGTCTGAGGGTGCAGTCGCTGCAGCAGAAGGGTCAGAAGCGGCAGGACGGAGAGCGGCTTCTGCTGCCACACGAGTCCGTCTACCGGCTGGACTTCAGCCAACAGGACCTGAGCTTCCTCCGCTGGAACACCAGCCTGCGAGGAACCGGACGCTTCACCGTCACCGGCATCTGCCAGCTCTGGACGCCCGATCTGACCAACCTGATGACCAGACAGCTGCTGGAGCCCATCGGCCAGTTCTGGAGGAACGCCGGGGATCCCGAGGACTCGCCCATCAAGTGTCTGGAGGCGGATATTCAGGAGTTCGGAGAGAGGATCGCGGAGCTGGCCAAGGTGCGCAAAGTCATGTACTTTCTGTTCGCTTTCAAGGAGGGAGCGACCAAAGAGAAGATCTCCTGCTCTTTGACCTTCCACAAAAACCATTAAGAGATCAAATCTCTCCAAGAATCGTATCCTAAAAACCTAGACAGCTTAGATGTTCTCTGTGCTGGTTAAAAACCTTTTTATTTTCACAGATCGATCATAAAAACTTAGCTTCACTTAGTTTGGTTTCTTATCTTAAAGCAACTCTTTAGAAAGACTGTAAGTGCATGCGTTTTGTTGGTGCACATGTGATCCAATGCAGTTTTGATGCTTCTAGACGGATGAATAAACTCTTTTAGTTGCTGTATGTGAATGCTTCGTTCTTGAGCACTGGAAGGTCAAGAGTCTCGAACCACAACACGTCCGGATCGATATCGGGAATCAATCGAAGCGCCCAGCTTTTGAGCAAACGCCACGCATTAGTTCTGGGAAATCTGACTCACTGATTCTTTCCAACAGTTTGTTTCAATGAACTGATTCAAAAAGCCAATTCATCAGTTTGTTTGCGTCATCGAGTGTTTCCATTATACTTCTGGTGACATATGTGGTTGTATTAGTTGTATGAGACATACAAGCTGTTAAAGAATCACTCTAACTGATTCAGTTCAGTTTGTGAGCAAGTTCATTCAAAGAATCAACTCAAAAGAACAATTCTGACACATAAAACTATCAAAATGTTCTCTGTGTGCTATGAAACGTCAGCTAAACAGACAATGACAGGCACATTCAAATGATGCAAATATACTGTATGCATACGTAAATTTCTCACATTATCTATGAAAACTTTTTCGCCCAGGTACGAATGTCTATAACTCAAATGATGGTTAAAATAGATCATTTTTACTTCGATTGATCTTTTTAAATAATTATTTTTGCGTTAAATAATAAAATGAAGTACTTACATTACATTTCAGCTTGTCAACACAGCAAGCAGTTACACAGTTTTATGGATATTTCATGCAGTACTGAAAAGTTTTTTAAGTAAATAAACTTGTTAATGATCAGACAAAAAATAAAAGATATTACATTGAAAATGTATTTTTATATTATATATTATTTACTATATCTATGTACAGTATATAGCCTAAACTGCACGACAATCTATTGAAAATAAAAAACAAGTTTTAAATTGTAAATAAATGTAAATAAAGCAATTTAGCAGTATTATCAATCAGATGCATATTTAAATAATCAAAAAAAAAATACTACAAAAAAAGTTGCCCTATGCTGCAACACAGACTATTATTTAATATATCATACAGTATTGAAAAGTTTGTTTTTTTTTAATCGTTGACTGAGACTATTATATATACTATATTAAATATACTACATATAAATATACTAAATATACTATATTTTTTTTTAAATAAAGGAAATATAAATATTACATGAAAATTTAGAAAAATGTGCCTTTAAGTTGAAACATTTTTTATTTAGTAACAGGATATAAAAAAATAATTAAACAAACTTAAATAGTCATATTTACAAACACGCAAACGCACAAAATTACTAAAGCTTAAGCAAAAATTAGTTACACTTCAGTTTCAGGTATAATTCTACGGGTTAATTTGGGTAATTTAAAGTGTAATCATACAAACAAGTACTGAGTAATATATCAATTAATTAAATGTACTTAATTTCAGGCTAGGGTTAGGATTAGGGCTTGATTTAGTTGCATGTAATTATGCATAGTTTATTGTTATTTAGCAAGTACATGCATAACATGTATAACAAGGTCACTGTGAATAAGGGTTACCCCACAATTAAAAGCTAATTCATTTATAAAAGCTAATTCCTAATAACGAATAAAAACAACATAAAACAACACTTTACTTGCCTTTATGTATAAGTTGTTTTAATGCATTAGTTATGCCTTGCAATGCACCTTATAATGCATTGTACAGTCTCATGAATAATTGTAACCACAGTTACTACATTATAACACTTTTCAATTCATTGTTACACTATGCATTTTAACAAGATATAATGCATTAACAAGATATAATGTATTACAATGCATGTTATGAATAATTATAATGCATGATATACCCTTTATAATGCAAAGGCGGCTTTAAGAAACAATTTAATTAAATTTCTTTTTTCACAGAGCTTGTTGCAATGCATTCTGGGATTGTCTTCTCTATTAAGATGTGATGCTGCCTTAACAAAATGGCCAAAATGAGGTCTTGAATGGCAACATAAGTTTGCACCCTACTTTTAAGACCAGCGTTAGCACGGTTAAATGCTGTCTCACTATGCGAGTGTGTGTCTTCAGGGGGATGCGTTACAGGACAGTAATTAGACCTCAGGAGGGAGATGAGTGTACAGCGGTGTGACAGCGACAGGTGCTTTAATGAGAGTTATGTGGAGCGACTGTAAGCTCACGAGTGAACGGAAGTGCATTAAAAAAACTCTTTCCATGCACTCGGATCTGGAAATGTGTTACACAGGGAAACGTCTCGTGGGAGGCCATGTTTGCCCACAATTGCACGTCGTGTGTGGACACAAATGAACATGTGATAACCCCAAGTCTCTAATTAGTCACATCTGATTCTCTCGAAACAAGACTCGTCCTAATAACGCAGCATTTGCTCGGTAAGCACATCCCAAGGCTCTCTCTGGAAGGATTACAGTGCAGCTGTAATGAGGAAACATCACGTTCTGTGTGAAATTATGAGCTCACTGGACCGCTGTATAAACAATAGCAATCAAACACTCAGCAGAGGTTGAGATTTCATGAAAAATAACACATTATTTATTTGTTAGAAAACTATTTGTGTATTTCACACTGTGTCCGATGTTTTGTCAATATCGCAAAAATGGCTTGTGATTGTTTTGGAAACATTATGCTGTTATTATTAACTAAAACTCACACTAAAACTAATAAAAAATTGCTTTGGCGAAATAATACAAAGCTGAAATAAAATAAAGATTTTGAAAAAAAAAAAAACTCTCCCCAAGGCAATATTCCTATTTTCATTCAAGTACTACGAAAAAGACTAAAACTAAAACTGAAAAACAAATCAATTAAAAGACACATAGAGAAATAGAAAAACTAATAATAATACTAAATCTAAAGCTGAAATTAAAATGCATTAAAATTGAATCAGAATATTAAAAACTAATAAAATACTTACATTAAAATTGAAAAAATAAAGTCAAATAGAAATATTAGAAAAATGATCCAACTAAAAATAAAATGAAACTACAAACCAACCAGCAATGTGTTTTGTAAAGAAAATACTTGTAAATAATTTTGTAATGCTTTTTAAACAAAAAATATATTTTTTGCAAAGAAAAAAAACTGTAGACACCTTGCAATTTAATAAAAATAGAAATATTTCTAACAAATATCCACTTTATTCTTCAACGCAGAAGTAAGCCTATGGGCAAGACTTCTGGTTCATTAGCCGCTGTAGGGAAATAACGAGAAGAATAACGATGTGCAGTAAATGTCAAAACTGTTTGCATTACAAACAAACCAGTGTGTTCATAATTAAGATAATGCATAAAAATAATATGGTAAGACACACCAGTTTGCATTCTCAAGCAGCAAAACGAGAGGTTTTAAACAGCTTAAAAATCACTGGTTGCGGATGAGACCGGAAGCCAGACACATTAAATTGACCAATGACCGCGAAAAATAAGGTGGATAAAAACACATTGCTCAAAAAATAAGTTATTTTAGGTGGTTAACTGGCATTAGACATCACTGTCATCATAACAAGAAATTAAAATAAAAGATTCATCAAGGGTTCTTGCGTTCTGCCTGTGCTATATTGTTTTAATTTAAATGTATTTGTTTTAAATATTTAAAAAAAAAAATTTATTTAAAAATTAAATGTGGACTACAAACGAAACAAAAAACTGTTTTTGAGTTACAGCTGCATTTTTATAAATAGAAATCAATATAGAAGATTAATAGGCCTAGTATTTTTTCTTAAAAACGTCTTATAGTAAATAATCAGTGTTTCAGACAAAATAACATAATTAGTTATTTTAGTTCCAGTGAAGGTGGTTAATTAGCATTAGCCATCACTGGCATCAAAATAAGAAATTAAAATTCACCAAGAGTTCCTGAGCTCTGTTTGAGCTATTATTTTAATTAAAATGTATTTGTTTTAAATTTTGAATTGAATGGTCAAAAGTTTAGAATAATTATGATTGTTTGTGTTTGAACGCAGTCTCTTCTGCTCTCCAACGCTGCTTTTTTAAAATTAAAATTACAGTAAAAATCTGAAATATTATTACAATTTAAAATAACTGTTGTCTATTGTAATATATTCTAAAATGCAATTTATTCCTGTGATGCAAAACTGAATTTTCAGCAGCTGGTCTTCAGAGTCGCATGATCCTTTCCAAACTTTCAACCAGTAGCGTATATGCATTTGGCAGAATATCCAGAATATTTGGATATTTTTTTATCCAAAGCAACTCACATTGCATTTAAGATGCACATTTTATCAGCTCATGCATTTCCTGGGAAATGACTTTGGCGTTGCTCACATGCTCTAATTTTTTATACTGTTTTTTACAGCATCTCATAAAACAAGACAAGTTACAAGTGTTACAAAGAGTGGTAACTAGGTATAAGTTATCATGGTAACTAAGCACTAATGGCATGAACTCACCTTCTGCCACAGAGCTTCTCTGGAGGCCAGACTGGAGCAGGCCGCCACAAACCAGCAGTTTCCCAGCTGCCCCTGGTGCAGGTCATGAGCGCTGATCCCGTTCACAAACAAGTGCGGGTCTTCACACAGCTCCTGTCATACAGACAGACAAAGAGCCAGTTACAGAAGCGCAGGGCCGTGTGATTGTCCGCTGTCAACGACTGCTTAATGTTCATTTAATAAGCCTTTAAAAGATTAGTTTAGTTTTCTCATGAACTGCATGTGCAAACACAGGGAAGCTGGTTTTTCTGGTTAAAAGTCAACATGAAATTCTAGATATTCAAACAAAAACAAAAAAACAGAATTGAATTGGTGAGCATCTCAATATTAAAGTCAACGAGCATTAAAATTGTTAACAGCTGACTTGTTTTTATATGCATTCATTCTTACAGCCTGGTCAAATTTTCCAGTGAAATAGTTTTATTGCAATGGTAATATTTTATATTTGATCAATATTTTTATGCAGTAATAACAATAATATAACATCATATTAATATATTGTATTATAATATAAATTATGATGATGATTATTATTATTATATACAAATGTTAAATCAAAATATAAAATATTACCATTGTAATAAAACTATTTCACTGTAATAAACTGTCAAATGTTTTATTACAAGAGTAATTTTATATTTTACTTAATATTTAATACTAATAATATAATAATAAACATAAATATTCATATATTGTTATTGTACTACAATACAAGAAACCACTATATTTTCATTAATCAATGATACTTAATTTTATTTTACAGTGAAATAGTTTTTTTTACAATTGTAATATTTTATTTATTTTGTGTAATATTATATATATATACACTGAACAAAATTATAAACGCAACACTTTTGTTTTTGCCCCCATTTTTCATGAGCTGAACTCAAAGATCTAAGACTTTTTCTATGTACACAAAAGGCCTATTTCTCTCAAATATTGTTCACAAATCTGTCTAAATCTGTGTTAGTGAGCACTTCTCCTTTGCACACAACCTCTCTAGCATTATTTCAGATGCTGAAGAAATCAACAGCTGCAGTGAGGAAGAGTTGCTTCACGAGTGAAGGCCTGATGTGCCACCTGTTGAACTAAACAGACTTCTGCTTCAGCAAACAGGAGGTTTCTGGTGGGCGGAAGATTGCATTGCACTTGTTCAACGACATTGCACTCACATGCCTGAACAGAAGTCCGTCATTCATGATGCACGGAGAAACAGGGAGTGTCCTGAATACATGAAGCAATGCAACGCTGCTCTGTGTGACCTGCTAAATGGTGTTTACTACTCTAATGCTCGTGTTTCTCAAAGACTGTGAGTTTGTGCTGTTACTTTACTGAGTGACCAAACCTGCCGGATGATAAAACAGGCAGACAATCAAAACCAAACAATCTACAGATGAAAATCATTGTGCAAACACGGTTACATCAGCAAGCTTTAAGCTTGTCTAACACTGACAATCCATTCAAGGATTACTTAAAACCTCAGGCATATTTAACTAAATGGACTGCCAAAAAGCCTTTAATGGACTGGATTCAGTTTTAAATGACACAGATGTTTTAGGGTTGCTTTTGTGTAATGAGCTTCAGCTAAATGCTGCTGAAATCAGAAAGAAGAGGAGAAAACACACATTTCATACAGTACATCTCATGAAATTAGATTAAATTTAAGTTTTTTCATTATTTTAATACCTTCTGCTCTAAAGGCTTGCGCTTAAATTGTGCCTATTCATGAATTTCCGAGGACTTGTCACACAAGCTGTTTAACGATGCTAATATTTCATGCAATCATATTCAGTGTGACTTGATAATATACACTACTGTTTAAAATACACGGGTCAATCAAAATAAAGACAGCAATAAAGACGTTTATAATGTTACAAAAGATTTCTGTTTTAAGTTTCTATTCATCTGTGAATCCTGAAAATTAAGAGTATTATTGTATATGACGGTTTCCACAAAAATATTGTGCAGCACGACTGTTTTCAGCATTGATAATAATCAGAAATGTTTCTTGAGCAGCAAATCAGTATATTAGAATGATTTCTGAAGATCATGTGACACTGAAGACTGGAGTAATGATGCTGAAAATACAGCTGCGCATCACAGAAATAAATCACAGTTTAACAGATATTCACATAGAAAACATTATTTTACATGCAATAATATTTAACTGTTTTTACTGTATTTTTGATCAAATAAATGCAGCCTTGGTGAGCAGAAGATACTTTTTTTTTTTTACAAATATTACCAACCTCAGTCAGACTTTGAATGGTAGGGTACTGAATATTGCATATGAAATCAGTTTTTATTTGTATTTTTTGGTTTATTTATAGACACCCTGGCTCAGGTTTATTGACATGCTAAGAAAACATTTATTTATCACACACAAGACTCCAGTTATGACAGCTGCAGGAAACCATTCCTGTACACAAACCTTTCCTCATGCACATTTCTAAACAATAACTATCATAATCTTTGGCTAAATATAATATCATCAAGCATTCACTGCATGAAGAGGTTATTGTTTCAACTGTAAACACATGTATCTGGCATGAGTTTAAATGCGTAAGTAACACAAGATCTACGGCCACACCTTTCATAAACGCACAGATCAGATATGATTAATGACAACGAGCAGGCTATTTAGGAGATGGGTTTAGTCTAAACAGCCACCTTCCACTGATTCAAGTGCATTAATGGTTATGAAAGGGCACTAATTATCAAGTCTTTGGATGAATCAGTGCTGTTTGCTAACTATTGTTTTGCTCATACTTTAAAGCTTATATTTTAATCCTGAACGTTACGTGTTAAATGTTCGAATTTACGAAATAAATAAAATAATAAAATAGTTCACATGTATAAGTATCAGATTCATTAAATACATTTGGTTATAAAATAATTGTATTTATTTAATAATAAAATAGGGTGATCCTTGATAATAAATATAATAAATAAAATCATAAATAATAAAATCGGGGGAAAAGACCAATATCAACTTACATACTTTAATCCTGAACATTAAGTGTTAAATGATCAAATTTATTAAATAAATCTGACTACAAAATAATTAGATGTAATAATAATATAGGGAAAATAGACCAATATAAAGTTTCAAAATGTAATCCTGAAATTTAAGTGTTGAATTATCAGATTTGCAAAATGAATTGGATTTTAAAATAGTTTTATTTAAAAATAAAATAGGCAAAATAGACCAATATCGAGTTTCATACTTCAGTTTTGAATGTTAAGTGTTAAACTATCAAAATAAATGTGATTATAAAACAAATTTAATACAATAGGGAAAATGGATTAATATCAAGTTTCATACTTTAACCCTAAACATTAAGTGTTAAATTATGAGATTTATTAAATAAATTGGATTATAAAATAATTTTATTTATTTAAAAATAAAATTGGTCAAATAGACCAATATCAAGTTTCATACCTCAGTCCTGAACTTTAAGAATTAAATAATCAAATTTCGTAAAAAAAAAAAAAAAAAGATTATAAAATACATTTAATAGAATAGTTAAAATAGACTAATATCAATTTTCATACTATAATTCTGAACTTAATGTGTTAAATGATCAGATTCATGGAATGAATTGGATTATAAAATAATTACATTTATTCATTAATACAAATGGGAAAACAGACCGACATTTTCAGACGAAACTAAGCTAGATTACAAACTAAACACAAACAGATTCACATTATGCAACAAATGACTAGTAGATAGTAGAATTTGCATCTTAAAACCTGCAGTTGTTTCTTACCTTCGGCCTCTTCCAGGTGACTTTTCCGATGCGGTTTCCATGATAGAAGAGCGACTGGTCCACAGCGGGAAAGCTGGGGTCTTCAAACAGAGTCCTGTTCTGCAGGCACTGTTTCCTCAGGGCTGAGAAGTGCTGCTCTTCAAATGGCTTCACCGACGAGAACATCCCGCAGTCTGGAACCACACGCAGACAGAAGATGGTAATGCAGGTTATTGAGCGGAGCGCTGGGATCGGTTTACTGCAACATCCCTTACTCCGCCTGATCGCTTCTGACATAAGGGTGCGTTTTAAGAAGAAACAGCCTATGGTTGTTATTCAGAACAAGAACTGAGTTATGGCTGTCATTTATATCATAGAGCAAAAAGCCTGATGTCGAAACACTGTTTTGGATATGTTTCTCAGGCCTGAATGACATTTAACACAGTTTGACATTAAAGGAATAGGTGACCCCAAAATTCAAATTTGCCTTCAGGTTATCCAAGATGTAGATGAGTTTGTTGAGAAATGTCTCTGCAGTGAATGGGTGCCGTCAGAATGAGAGTCCAAACAGCTGATAAAAACATCACAATAATCCACAAGTAATCCACAGCACTCCAGTCCATCAGTTAAAGCGTTATTATGGATTATGGACTCGTATTTTTGTTAAAAGCGTCTGAATGCTGGATTTGTTTCAGCTTTTGTCTTCTCCAGATGTTAACTGATGGACTGGAGTGCTGTGGATTACTTGTGGATTATTGTGATGCTTTTATCAGCTGTTTGGACTCTCATTCTGACGGCACCCATTCACTGCAGAGCATCCATTGCTGAGACACTGATGCAATGCTACATTTCTCCAAATCTGATGAAGAAACAAACTCATCCTAATCTTGGATGATCTGAGGGTGAGCACTTTTCCAAATGTTCATTTTTGGGTGAACTGTTCCTTTAAGAACACACTGCAAAGTGAACAAAAATATGAAAATGCAGATGTTTGGACATTCTGGTTATCTTGTTTTGTTTAAAAATAAAATAATATGGGGTTCATGGCAAGCACCACAGGTAAACAGGGTTAAAATTTAATAGGAATAAAAATAGTGTAAATGATACAGGAGAAAATCCTATAGCCTTTGAAAATACGTATTTTGATATTAAAGTGATAAAGTGTCATAAAATAAACACTTTAATATGTATTCTGGATGTTTTCTTTCCACTAGTCTGAAAAAAAAAACACATTATGGAAGCAAAATTGTTTTGCATTAAGAAAATAATACAGGTTTGGAACAACATGTTGGGAACGATTCCTCATGTAAAACTGTCTAACATTCATGCTAAAAGCCACATGAGCCGTTAGACATGAGTCAGTATCACACTGTCAAACCAGAACATCCAAAAAGGGGAAAAAATTCTGAAATTGTCTCTAAGCATCTGATAAACACGACTGGGCCCTCCTTTAGTTTACTGTACGCTTCTGCTTTCTGCTCTGGTGTTTATCACTCTTGACGGAGCACCAGAGTTCGTCCTGCAGGATTTACAAATGGAAGACAAACCCCATTCACATCTGCACACAGCCATAAAAGCATTACACACGACTGTGAGAGAGAAAAGGTCGATACGGAGCTCAGATGAATCTGTTTATGACACCATACACCCATCCAGCCCGGAATTACCGAACCACATCATCATCACACGGATAGCACAAGAAGACAAACTCAATATAAACCCTTTCACAACACACAGACCTTCAGGATCACGAGAACGAGTCAGCGATGGCATCGTGGTTTTACAGAGGGTGCGTCTTTAACTGGTGCCATTTATTTGGGCAGTTAGAAAGCATCTGAAAACTTAAAATGACTCATTGTCATTGCATTATAAAATAAAATATCAAATCATGTGTCATCAGTGATCAAATCTCTTATTTCAAGGACTGAAGCAACTCAGGTTTACTTGATTATCCATAAATCATTTTTTAGAAATGTGAGCATCAAATGTGATCAAACATTTATTTTTGCATCTCTCAATCAGCACTGTAATGCATTGCATAATATGTTTTGAAGCTACAGAGCATTGATCATAAAATTAAGCATTTAAAGATCATCTTACTAAGACATATTATTGGAGATATAGAATGACGACTGATATTTATGTAAGTATCTGCTGTACTGTTATTAAGATCTCATTGATTTATATTACAAGCTATACATTTTTTTTATAATTTTTGGCCATATAAATATCAGCATCAGCACCACATTGCATATTTTTGCTCAGTTTGGGTCTTTGAAATTAACTGAGCTGTTTATTACTCCTTGAGCTCCATACTCTCACTATATCATACTATATGAGCCATAAAACCCTTAAGCATGAAATATGATACAAAACATAATACACATATGAAAACTTTTTTTTTTAAATATGTCTAAAATGTATTATTCTATACAAATCTGACTATTATATTACTTGATATGTCAGGATTTACATGATTTTAATAGATGTATGAAGTCAAGTTTAATTTTATTAAAAATTGTAAGTGTCATTTAAGCATCCAAACCCATAGTAACAAACTTTTTTTGGTGAATGAAACAAAAAAACCTTATGCAGTTCATAAACAAGTCTGTTTATGTACAGTACAGATTGTAGCTAACTTATTGTTAGAGGGACAATACGTAGATCAGTATGTTTGGAATGTTTGACGTTCAATACAAAGTACTGAATATAATGTTACATTGTATCAAATGTACTAAAGCAAGGTTCCCGTATGTTTCGCAAATGTTTGTAACTATCGCAAATTTAAAACTAGATTGCACTCACAAGACTTCATTCATGAGTTTTCCAAGCTTGGAAACCACAATTTAAACAATTCTTCATATGCGAATTAGTCATAAATATAGAACCCTGTCAAATGTATCACTATATGAAGTGCGTTACAAACTGTTACAATGTAACTCCTCCCTCCTCAACGTTCCACACACACGCAAAAAACTACAACTAAACACTAAATGCGTTCAAAACAGCTGAAAACACCGCGGATACGGGCGCTTTTGGGTCTTTTTTGAGTGAAGCCACATGAACACCTCACACACTCACACTCATTTGAAAAATACCCACTAAATATGATCTGTAATGATGCAAGAACCTTAAATGCTGTCATTTACCTGCAAAACTCTTCCTGCTTGAGGATATTCAAATGAGGTATGAACAGATGATGTTTCTTATGATTTACTGCTCCATACACACACACACACACACACACACACACACACACGCATGTCCACAGGTTTCTCCTCAGTCCTCCAGAGACTGTGTGTTTAATTCCTCGTGTTTCATGCTCTCTGTGCTCTGAGTCTGAGGGAGGGGCCTGCACTGCTCACACTCGTGTGTGTGTGTGTGCGTGTGTGTGTGTGTGTGTGTGTGAGTG